GTGAATGGAGGTGTGTTGCTGTCCTATTGGTTGAGGGCTTTGCTGCATGATTATGTCATCAGGCAGAAACACAATTCACATCAGGTCATGTGAGATTAGGTAGAAGTTGCCTCAAAGCTAGTGGCATGCAAGTTTCTTAGGCAGATATGTGGGGAAGATAGCTTAACTATGTGCATAGGTATCTATTGAAAATACATTTTCAGGTGACGAAAATGTATTTTCAGTTGATTATTCTAATCTAACATTCTGCATTACTCTAACATGGTATTAATCTTCTTATTTTCATTCATTGATTTGTTTTTAGGTAATTTTCTAATTTTTGCCTAAAATAATATTTTGATACATTTTTTAAAGGTAATCTGGAGAATTCCTATTTAGTGATGAATAACTACTAATATAAACTAAATATCACCCTGCAGTTGCCTTCATATTTTCAAAATATGCAATAATCTCCTCACTGTTCTTCTGTAAATCAAATTGGCAATTATATAATGAACACGTTTTACCATCACTGATAAAAGTAATATTTTTAATTAAAGCATCTCTGCATATCACATTTATAATTAGAAATAATTAAGTAGCCAGTTAACAAATTTATGTATGAGGTTTGAATACAATAACTATGAAAATAATATTCAATAAAGGTTTGAGTCATCAGAATGCTTTAAAATTACCTATCTTACTCACTAAATAGTAAACATAACTGATCTGATTTGATTATTTTATTTCATGCAGTGAACATAAAAAAACCTCATGTTTACAAACATTGTAAGCCAATAAAACCATAGTATATCTATTAAGAAGTAAAAATGTCATAATTTTAAATGAAAAACCACGTAATAATAAGGAAACTTGATTAAGCCTAAAGCAATTTTCAGTCATGTGATTTCTCTTTTTCATACTGTGTGTGTGTGTGTGTATATATATTCCTGTGGCTAAGTTAACTATTTGTACCTGATGATGACAAAACCTTCTCTAAACATTGTAAATTTGTTATTGTGTTAAACTTCTAATAAAATTTTCTTTGTTACCCATTCAACCTGTCTCTGAACTGTATAAGCTTACCTTTTCTCAAGTTATATGATGTCTTCTCATTGAAGAAAGTTCCAGTAATTTTCAAACAGATATCGTTTAACTCTTTCAGTATGAGCTTGGCCCCTGGGGCCAACCTCGTAACCATTTTGTACTTGTTATAGTTTCATGCTATAACCTTTAAATTATTAAGTGTATGTTCATGAAATTTTGCAGATTATTAGTAAACATTACAAGGCTTTCATACACAAAATATCAGATTTTTTTTATTAAGACTTGAGGTTTGTTGAGCAATGTTTTTCCCATGCCTTTTTTTCTTTTTGCCTGTTGCCTGTCCAAATGCTTTTATGCATCAGAAAATTTTCAAATTTCACATGCAAAATCTTTATGACGTCCAGATAGTTATCACACGTTTTTTAAGAAAAAACTTTATATTTTATCTGTTACTTTCACTAACGAATCTCTGTACGGGTTTGTCCAATTTGATTGATCTCATAACCACCATAAAAAAAATAAGGAAATAAATATAAGTTATGCATTTTTTGTCCTAGAATGACTACAGATTATGACACAAACACAAATATTTGGACTAAATAGTTTAAATCTCATAGCATTACACATTTATATATATATTTATTATTTTTACTATATTGACCTTTCAGCCAGGCCTGGCTAACAATACAGAAGTTACAATGACGTGGTGCATGTGCACACATGTTATGGTATCCAATAATATAAAACTGACCTTTAGTTTTTACAAAGTGACCTGTCTTAGCTGTGTTTTAGTGGACTAGAATTTTCTAAAATATAGCCACATTTCAATTATTATACATTATATATGTATATACGTTATTACTGTGTACAAATAAGTTCTTAAACTTATTTTTTTAAAACATAGAACAGTAAATAAAGAAGTAAAGCAAACAATTATCTCTTCTACTTACAACATTTGTATTTGTTTGTTGAGTGCCATAGTTTGCTAAGCCTTATAAAACTTCACACCTCGAGAATATGAAACGAAATAATTATTTTTAGATTTTATATATACATTTCAAATAACAAAAAAATCATAAATTACTATATTGATACCATAGTATTCCAATATAATTTATCATGCTTAGTAATTAAGCTGTAATTGAGTCTAAAAAAATGTGTAATTTCAAGCAGACAAAAGATTCAACTTACCAACTTGAAGTTTTGTATCGAAAGAACGAGATGACATGGTAATACTTGAAAATGGCTGAGAAAGACACTAGGGGGACATTCTGAGCTTTTGATTTGTTAATTATATGTTATAGACAGAAGTATGTGTATATAAGGGAGCCAAAAATGGAAATAGGTGAGAGGGGCCACTATGTTTGATTCAGTACATGAGCGATATCTCAGCAAAGAGAAAAGATAGGAGGTTCTTATTTTATGTTCTAGCTTGTCAATATCGGTAATTTGAGTTCCTGATTTATATGAAACTATAGACTTTGTACTTTAACATCACAAACATCCAATTCTAATACAATACTTACCTATTTTTGAGGTGTTGCATTTTTGATATGGTCCCAGAAATTCTAGAGCTTCGGATGACATTGGACCAACAACAATCTACCCTTATGAATATCGTAGCCCCGTTTGTCTCAGTCAGAACCTCATATGCCCCCAATTACCATTTTCCATCTTTTCCCTTCCCAGCTCTTATCCATCCCTTCTACTCAGGGTACTTCTTGTTGCATTCCTTGACAACACCCCTCATTCTCACCGGTACCTGTGACTACCCAGTGGGTTCGAGTCTGATAAGCTTGGTTGTTCAAGTTTCTTCATCGCTGGTGTTCCTTCGTCAGTGATCAATGGGTGCTTCAGGTTGTATCAGAAGGATTCATTGACTAGTTTCTTTCCCCACCTCCCGTCTCTCCTTACCCCTTATCTTTCCCTCCTCCTCAAGCCAGCCAGCATTTGAAGTGGGCCAGGAACTACTTCTGCAGTGGGCCATTGAACTGGTTCCCCATCCTTCCCAGGGTTTTTATTCCCAACTTTTCATTGTCCCCAAGAAAAACAGGGACTGGCGGCCGGTAATCGATTTATTTTGCATAAACCACTTTGTTTCACTACCCCACTTCACCATGGAGTCTTTTCTCACCCTGAGATTGGCATTTTCTCTGGGGTTGTGGATGACCAAAATGGATGTCACCAAGTATATTACCTCATTCTCGTCCTGATCTTTGTTTTGTCCATGTCAGGGTAGTTTATCAATTTTGGGCCCTCCTTTTTGGACTTGCCTCGGCACCTTGCGTATTTTGCCGAGTAGTCCAAACTTTTGCTCAACATTTCCATGCTCTGGGGCTGAGATTTCATTATTACAAGGATGACTGACTTCTTTTAGCTCATTCCATACAGGAATTGGCCAATCATACTCGGCAGCTCTTTTCTGTGGCAGCTCAGGTGGGCTGGTTGATCAAACAGAAGTCCTTTCTCAGACCCACTCAATATCTTGTCCAACTGCTTGCGAAGTTCTATCGCTTTTGGGGATGTGGTCATCAATGACATCACTGGTCCCCCTCGGTCTTGCCCATATGAGATCCCTTCAATGGGCTCTGCATAATCGATGGAACCTTGCTCGAGATCCTCTTTCCATCCCCAATTCCCTTCCTTTTTTCTGTGTAAGATGATCTGCTTTGGTGGGTGGGGGAAGCCCATAAGTCGGCGAATGTGTCGCTTCGTCCCCCACATCTGGATCTATATCTTTTCATAGACACATCCCTTCAGAGATGGGGGATGGGTCAATCACCGGGAGGCTTCGGTCCATTGGTCTGCGGATGAAAGTGCTTTGCATATCAATGTTCTTGAACTTCTAGCTGCACATCACTTCCTTCTTTTCGCCCGACATTGTCTAGTGATGGTTCATTCAGACAATTCTACAATGGTAGCACATATCATCCAAGGAGCACCCAGTCCAGTCTCCGTTTTCAGATGTTGGATGTTGGGCCCACACACTTCGCATTCATCTTGTTGCATGTCATGTGCTAGGTGCTTTCAATCTGGTTGCTGATCATCTTTTGCGCCCCAACCAGATATATCCCACAGAGTGGTCATTAAATCCCCTCATTTTCAGGGATCTTTGCCATTGGTGGGGTTCTCCCCATGTGGATGCCTTTGCTATGGGCCACAACATGAAGTTTCCTCTCCATGTAAATGATAAATTAGTTTATCCTTAAATTTTTAAAAGTTTGAAAACTATAGTAAATCTTAGGCCACATTGACAAATGACACTAACTTCACTCTACTTACATAAAGAAAAACTTACTTGTACCACTTTGTAGCTGAAAACCCCCAAAAAAGATGATTCATTCTACAGGCTAGAAACAAATATTATCTTGAAACAACTCTAGATTAACTTTTAAACTATTCCTCAGCTATCTTCTCAATGTTTTGCTAACCCTGTATTTTTAATCTACCCTTGAATGTACTAGAAGAATCTTTAGAACTTTCAATTCCTAATTTAATGTCATTATTTATGCCCAGCATTTTGATTTAGCTAACAAATAAAGTACAATGTGAAAAATATAGCTTGCAACAATAATGATATTGTAGAATGTCGGTTTATAGCTTGATATGATCATCATCTTCATACATGAAATTTATTATCTGCTCCTTTTCTTCATTTCTGAAAGTGTAATAAGATATTTTGCATTATTGGTGCTGCGCAAGAAAACAATTGTTTTTATTATTCAGATGTGAAATTAAACTTTAGCTCATTACTGTGTTGAAGTAAGGAATTATTGTGAATTTTACATTGTTTTATACTATAAGCCACAGTTTTATGGTCTGTCAGTAATAATATAACTGATAAAACTCACTAAATAATATAATAAAATCTGTTTAAGAATTAATGATATGATATATATATATATATATATATATATAATTGTGGTTACTTATTATAGAAATACATATATATTTTATCTTGTTTTGTTTTTTAGTACTAGGAAAGCTTGGTTATTTCTACCATGACATCAAGTGCAGGTAGTTGCTCCAGCATTCCTCGGATCATGGTGTTTCAACCTACACTAGAAGAGTTTAAGGACTTTTCTAAGTATATAGAGTACATGGAGTCAAGAGGTGCACACAAAGCTGGTCTTGCAAAGGTATCGATATTGTGACTTGTAAATTAAAATATTGCTTATATTCTTTGTTTTATATATTGTTTTGAATGCAGGTAAAACCACATGTACAAAATGACAGTACATTAGACAAATGGTTCTCAAAAGTAATAATGTATTACTCTTCTTAACCATTTTGAG